ATACTCAGGGCTCACGGCTCATTTATTTGCGTGGTAGAAAAACCTTTCCTATGACAGAAGTGGTTTTGTCACCTATCCTTGGCCTTCTACAAAAATATATATATATATATATTTAAATTTCTTGTCGTCAGGCAGCAGAGTGTGTCAGTAAGCAATGGACCTTGGTGCTCCGCAGCAGGGCTGTGCCGCTCCCCTCTCTCCACTGGGGACAGGGAGAGATTTGACAAAAGCTGGGGGAAAAGAGAATGCTTGAGGGAAGTGCAGGTAACTCCCTCGGGTTTCGGTATCTAGCATGTTAAGGCTCTTTTCTACCAGATGCTTACACAGCAAACTGTCACTGGCAGGAAAAAATAACCTGCTGCTTCAGAAATAAATGGTGGCAGTTTGAACGACTTTTCTCCCTTGTAGCTGAGCATAGCGCAAAAGCTGGTACAGTAAATACAGCTCCGGTGCTGGGAGGGTTTGGAGCTATCCCGCGTGGCGCTCCCGGAGGAATGCTGAAGGAGATGGGCCCGGGTTGCTCCTCTGCAGCGCACCGTGCTTCTGTGCGGCACAGACTTCACGGCGTTCTTCGGCTGCGACGGCTCCTCTCGCTGGGGGGTACGTCGGGGGAGGCTTTACCAGCATCTGGCCTTTCCGCTTGTGCTTAGTGTTCCAGCAGCAGCTGGAGTGAAGGAGTAAAGAATGCGTCTGAAACTTGCTCGTGCGACTGAATTGGGTTTGTTGGCAAGAACTTAAGGAGCAAATTATTTTAGTAAAATGAACAGATGTTCTTAAACATGAAGATAAGAAAAGGAAGTGCTACATTCGCAAAGAGGAATTCAGACCCCAAATTTTCCTGCCCGTGTGTCTGCCTCTGCGCAGTCTGTCCGTTGTGAAGCCCTGGAGAGGAGCTATCTCTGAGATGTGCTGAGCACAAACGCGGTCTCCTCTCCTTCTCGGACGCTGTTCCTCACAGCCTTGCGTTTCCCTCATGCCTGTCGGGAATGCACCAAAGGTCCCTTCCCTGAACAGTGACTCGAAACCAAACCTTTCAGAGGAATTGCTGGTTTGGTGGTCTCTTTGCGTGGTGGGCTTCCAACGACAAGGACAAGCCACCTTTGTGCCCGAATGACCAAGGCAGACACTGCCAGCGCTTGAGGAAGAACGTGGCACGGGGCATGCTGTCCCGTAGTGTGTTCCAGGTTAGCTTTGTGCTGCTCCTACGCCGTTCTGCTTCCTCTGCAAATGGTGTGACGTTACGTGGAGGTTTCCAGAGACAGCCTTCCTTTTCTTGCTCGTTTTCAGTGGGAAAGGCAGCAACTCTTCTCTTAGTGCTGGGGCTCTCTCAGATGTTTATTGATTTTACTGGGATTGACAAAAGCAGCTTGATGAACTCAATTCAACCAGCGTCCCTAAAAAGAGACTGACAGCACCTCAGCTCGGAGACCACTCCGCAGCAAATGGAGCCCAAGGCGATTCCTGCAGCACAGAATTACCGTGTCCTCCAGCCATTTGGAGCTGCCAGAGCCCGTTACTGCTGAAAGATAAGTTTGGGGGATAATCAGCATTTGAAGGATGAGCCAAATCTCTCTGCCCCTCACGAGGAAGCTTCGACAGAAATGTTTATCTTCCTCAGTGCTGGTGATATGGCACCCAAGCCTAATTACAGAATAACTACAGAGTGATGATGTATTTTCCCCTTGAAAATGGCGAGAAGCACATTTAGAATCTGTTCACCAATTAAATCCCATCC